CACCCACACTAGCTATTTTTCGAAATTTATATATAGTAGTTTATTATTTATATCAATAGTAAAATTATAATAATAGGCGTGAAGAAAAAAAATAAATAATTGACATTTTTTATTTTATTTTTAATAAAATGCAATCCACTTGATTGCCTTGTACCTTTGTTAATCCAACGTGGCCGACCAAGAAGTCTAAAAAATGGAGCTTGCTTGGTCGTCAATGAGCATATGGTGTGTGTATATTACACCATCACACGGCCATAAATTCTTTTTTTTTTTTTTTCTATTTGTTAAATGAAATATTTAAAATATTATTATAATATTTTTTTGAATTTAAAATTATTGATAAATTTTTAAAATTATAATATACTAATATAAATAATTTAAATCGTTAATATATGAGTGGAGTTATGATAATTAAAATAAGTTAAATTTTAATAAATTTATTATATGTATAAATAAAAATAATATTATATAACAGTTGCTTTCTTTTAATTTAATAAATATAATTGATTAAAAATTTTAAAAAAATTAAGTCAATCCTTAACTTTTTTTTTTCTCTCTATATATATATATATATATGATAAAATAATTCATTTTTTAAATTCATATATATATATAGATATGTGTATAATCACTCCTCACTTACCTATTAAAGTTCAATTTAAAAAAGAATTATAGAAATAATTGGAATAAAGCATACTTATTATGACTTTCATTAATAGTTGTTAAGTTTATAATAAATACTAGCACTTATACGGTTTTATATTTTTAATTTGACTATATATAATTACGATCAAATTAAAATATAAAAATAAACAACTTTTCATATCTCAAAATATCATTTATTTAAAAATTATAATATTAAATTTATTATTTAAGAAGTATATTATAAATTAATAGTGACTGATTTATAATATTTGACTTGTTGAAAATGATAATTTAAATTACTAATGTATTATTATAGTTATAACGGATTAAATTTTAATAAATTTATTATATTTTTAAATAAAATAAATATTTTATAACTACTAATTTTTTTAAATGAAATAACCACAATTGTGTAAAAATTTAATTTTTTTTTATAAAAGAAATATCATCTTTGTATTTTAAGCGAAATGTGTATTAAATATGTACTTACTCTTTGTATTTTATTATTGAATTTGAGATTTTTTTTGCATAGAATTGTTTTTTACAATTATTTATGAGTAGAGCTATTAAGCTAAAAATTAATAGATTTAAAACATATTAAAATAAATGGTTAATCACATTATAATCATGTAATTTTTATCATATATTATTATAAATTAATATATTCTCTTTTTTACAATTTAATCTCCTACTTAATACACACCCTAAATACAAGTAAAAACATATATATATTTTTTATAATTATGTTTTAAAGTTTAATATTTTATAATTGTGTTTTAAAGTTTACTATAAACGGCTAACTTATATATATATATATATATATATATATAGTTTGAAGATATGAATGTAAAACAAACATAGACTAAACATATTATATAAAAGAGTATAATTATGATATTAAAATAATTGTAAGTATTGTATTCCTCTTCTTTGAGTTACAATAAATTATTTTTTTCATTAAAAAAAGTACATTCATTTTTTCATCTAAAATTTATTTATCTAACATTTTTAAATTATTTTTTAAAAATATTTAAATATGATTTAATTATTTTATTTTTGTATAAAAATTACAAAAATTAAATATTTGAGACAAATAAAAAATATTAAAAACTAAATTGTAGTAAAAATTAAAAATTATATTATAACAAATGACTTTTTTTTAAAAGAATTAACAATCCATTCGATATCTATTTTTTTATACTTAATTTGATAAAAATTAAATAAATTATGAATAGAAATATTTCTATTACCTAAAATATTTTTTATTAGATTTGTTATTTTTTTAAAAATTAAAATTTACATAAATTAATTAAAATTTTAATATTTATGATTTTTATCAATTTAACTGTTTAACATAATAATTAGCGTTCATAGCTATCTGTTGTACCCACTAAACTTGTTTGTACTGATTACCAAGTCAAAAATTTGTTTTAAGAAATATTTTAACAGAGGCACCTAAAAACGTCGTCGTTTAGCTTCTCCCCATGTAAGAACGTCGTCGTTTTGATATCTCAATCCCATGAACGATAAGGCCATCTTGCTGGTCTTTTGACTTTTTTTTTTTTTTTTTTTTTTCCCATCTCCCTTAATTTTTTCACTTCCACGTTCAGTTTTTCAGTCCGTTGATCGTGTTCGTTCCCAAATCTGTCTCTCGCTGGTGATCTTCAACTGAACAAACTCATCAATACAACCCCGAAAAAGAAGAATATAAATATCAGGGTTTATCTCTTCGAACTCCTGTGTTTCAATTCCTCAAAATAGCATCGTTTTGCACCATTGGATTCTCCTTTAACGCGCAGGTAGGTTTGAGCACCATCCTTAATATTTCCTCGGCCTTTTAGTTTTCATCTTGCCCCGATCACTGGAGAAGAGAGGACCGTCACTTTAGTTTTGAAACGATTTTTAATTGGATTCAGTTTCGATGCATTTTAGGTTTTATTTTATTAGCTTTTTATCGCCGGGAAGTATATGGACTTGGTTCTTAGGGTTTCGATCTTCTTAAATTATCGTGAACACGACGGTAATTTGGGAGATAAGCGACCAATTGGATGTCAAACTGAGTTTGTTTTTGTTTGTGAATCAGTGATGGAATGTGTTGACGAGGTAAACATTGTTTAGTGATTAACAGAGTTGTTGTTTTCTTGCTTATATTGGTTTTGATGTTGTGTCCTGCGTTATTATTGCGTTCATATCGATAGAGCGACTCTGGATTGACATTCGATACTGTGTGAATAGCCTATATGTTTTTGTTTTTTGGTTTCTTTTCAAATAAATAAGTTTATTGTTGTTCTGTATTTGGTGCATTTAGGAATTTCACTAGTTCCAATCTGCTTGGCTTTTTTTCTGTTTGATTTGGGAAATCTTTGCTACTTCTGTGAGTTCTTATCTCTGAATCTCTTTCTTTGGGTTTCTTATTATGTCATCATTCAATTTATTTGTTTTATGCAGGGTTTATTGCAATGCACCGGGTGGGTAGTGCAGGGAACACTTCTAATTCTGTTCGTCCTCGTAAGGAGAAACGACTGACATATGTGCTGAATGATGCTGACGATACCAAGGTCAATTTGTTTTGCAGTCATTTGAGTTATTTAAGTTATTGCTATAAGCATTTTTTAGCTATGCTAATGACATATTTTTCAGATTCTTTATTAACATGCATCATTGCTGGTGATTGGTGGTGGTTGTTATTGTTATTATTTAATCAATAATAAATGGTGATGATTGGTAACTGCTATTATCATCATTTAAATGAGTTATTTTTCATAACATTGTTTCTCATAATTTCTTTAGCTTCCTATTCTAACTTAGATTCCTTTTATTATCTTTTGGCGTTGGACTAGGAATTGCTTGCATCTATTTATGATATGATGCATTCTACTCAAGTGAGTCTAGGTAAACTATGTAATGACCATTTATCATAATGCATTTACTTGTGTGGTTATTTGGATATGTAACAATGTTATACGTGCATTGTTGATCAAAATATCAGGTTGTACATAGAATTGTTTTTCATTTTCTGGAGTTCGCTATCTTTTAGTGAATATTTATGGCATCTTTAGGTCATTTTAGGTTGAATGTCTCTGACTTAATCAATTCCATTTAGGGAAGTGGTGGCATTTCATATTTTTTTAGAGCAGAATAAACTTTTAGCAGTGTGCATTTTTAGCATGTTTATGGACAATAGTCCCATGTTATCATAGTTTTGGAGGCTCTTAGAAATAACATTTCACAACTAATATTTTCTGCAGTGATATGTATGATACCCTGTAATTGAATGACAATTAAGTAAGTTCAATGTTTTATTTTGTTCCATCAAATCTTTTGTGTGCTTCCATTGTTCCTTTCAAAATTTTGTTGTTGCCATCTTTAGTGGCGTTGGACTGACTTCCATTTTCAGGAAAAATATGGGATTGCTCATATAGGCAGCCTATTCATATATCAATTTCTGATGTTGCTCTCCTTTGAAATGTCCATTTGGCAGCATTGTGCAGGCGTAAACTGTTTGTCTCTATTAAAGTCATCTGTCACTGAAGGGTGTGATTACCTCTTCTCTGGAAGCCGTGATGGTACACTAAAGAGATGGTCATTGGGCGAAGATGCTGCTACATGTTCTGCTACATTTGAGTCACATGTTGACTGGGTATACCATTTTTTCTTGCAGCTGTTTATTTTCATTTTGTTTGATACCCCTTCTGGAACTTCTATTTTTTTGGTTCATACTTCAGTGCCTTTTGTTGCTTTGTTATCCGGATGGTATTTCAGAATGCATTAAATTTATTTTGTGTAGTAGCTTTGTCAGGATATTTTGTGAAATAGGAACAACGAACCATCACCACTGCCCCAGCAAGCTTATTTGCATATATTTTGCTATAGAGCTAGTGATGACGAATTATTCCTGCTTGTGCAGGTAAATGATTGTATCCTTGCTGGCGAGAATACACTTGTTTCTTGTTCTTCGGATACCACCCTCAAGGTTGGTTTGTCACTTTAGATTCCAACCCTCCAAAATTTTAATTGGAGAATATTGAATTAATTGGCTTTATTCACTCATTCATCATTGGTGGGATGTATCAGACATGGGATTGCTTGTCTGATGGAGCTTGGACGAGGACCTTCCGTCAACATTCTGACTATGTTACTTGTCTGGCTTCTGCAGAAAAAAATGTAATGTCTATGTCACATTTTTTGTGGATATTTTTAACTACATGGATGAAAGGTTCCTATCAATGCAATCCTGTTTTTTTAGTTCATTTAATTTGTCCTGCAAATTGTGCTAAGTATTATATTTTTAGATATACCAAATTCATTTCCTGATTTTCTTTTAGTGTCATGCATTTTAGAGCAATATTGTTGCCTCGGGTGGTCTTGGTGGGGAGGTTTTTGTATGGGATATTGAAGCTGCATTAGCACCCCTTTCCAAGTCAAGTGATGCAACAGAAGATGAATGTTCAAATGGTGTCAATGGTTCTGGGCATCCATTACCTGTGACGAGTTTACGAACTATTAGCTCAAGCAACAACATTTCTGTGCATCCGTCTCAACCTCATGGGTATGTCCCGATATCTGCCAAGGGCCATAAAGAGTCAGTTTATGCATTGGCAATGAATGATAGTGGAACCATTCTCGTCTCTGGTGGAACTGAGAAGGTATGCAACATATACAAACTGTATATACTTTCTATGATATTTTGATGATTTAGAGGGTCTTTTTGTTTAATAAAACTGAAGAGGTTCGTGTTCTGTGAGAGCAAGTTTGTATAACCTCTTGAGTTCTTGTAGGTTGTGCGTGTTTGGGACCCAAGAACTGGTTCAAAGACTATGAAGCTAAGGGGGCATACAGATAACATCAGGGCTCTGCTTCTGGACTCTACTGGCAGGTTGGTTAGTTGGAATCTTCAGGTGTATTACTAATATACAAACTATTAAACCACAAGATCAATTTAATTTCTTTTTGTGCTTTATGTTTTCTTTTTTTTTTAAAATTATGAAATGCCTTAATTTTAAACTTGCAGGTTTTGTTTATCAGGATCTTCAGATTCTATGATCAGGTGGATATTTAGTACCATTCCATTTGTGCAATATAATTATGTTTGTTTGTAATTGTAGAAATTTGGAAGAAATGTCCTTGTTATGGATTTCTTTTGTAGACTCTGGGACCTGGGTCAGCAGCGATGTGTGCATTCTTATGCTGTGCATACTGATTCTGTTTGGGCACTTGCAAGCACCCCAACATTTAGTCATGTTTATAGTGGAGGGAGAGATCTCTCTGTAAGTACATTCTGTATCAACCCTGTTTTGAAGTCTTGCCTCATTTTCTCTCAACTCTTTTTGTTTTTTTCAAATATCTGCAATGTTATGAATTTTTTGATGCTTAGTTCAATATTTCTTCAGTTATACTTGACAGACTTGGCAACAAGGGAGAGTCTTTTGCTTTGCACAAAGGAACATCCCATTCTGCAGTTGGCATTACATGATGATAATATATGGGTTGCAACAACTGATTCTTCAGTTCATAGATGGCCTGCTGATGGACGGAATCCTCAGAAAGTCTTTCAGAGAGGTGGTTCGTTCTTGGCTGGAAACTTGTCTTTTTCAAGAGCAAGGGTGTCCTTAGAAGGATCTACTCCAGTAAGTAATCTATGTCTCTTTGTTTGCAAGGTAGTTGCATTCACGTGTTATATACTCTTTGGTCTTTTCCTTTTTCTTTTTCTCATTATTATAGCTCTTTCATCTTTGATCTTTAGACATCACCTATACTTGAGATGCATAGCACACTAGCAGTAAAATTCATTTCCACATCAGTTTTTCAATTCCTCCATCCCTTGGGGTCCTACTATTTTATTGCATTGTTTGTTATTCTTATGCACATGGGACGCATGCAATTTCTCTATCATTGATCCAGTGATAGTTGGGTTTATTTGCAGGTTCCTGTCTATAAAGAACCAACCTTTACCATTGCTGGAACTCCTGCAATTGTGCAGCATGAAATTTTAAACAACAGAAGGCATGTCTTGACTAAGGTAGATGATACATACATCCATTCATGATATGACCTATACTGGATTTTGGAAATGCAGTTTGTGAATCTGGTATGCTTTTTCCTAGGATACTGCTGGCTCAGTGAAGCTATGGGAGATCACTAGGGGCATTGTTGTTGAAGACTATGGAAAGGTCTGCTTTGGAATTTTTATTCTTTGGTTTTAGTTCTTTTTTCTTACCAATATGGAAGTGTTGGAATTATTCAACTGATAAGTTCTGCATTTCTCTTTATTTGGATTTATGAAGCTTATAGTTCTTTGATTTTGCACTAATTTTGTATTTTTTCCCCAACATTTCAAGGTTTCATTTGAGGAGAAAAAAGAAAAATTATTTGAGATGGTATGGCTGCTGGTTTATATTTCAACACTTTAACTGCAGTGGAAAATTTTAAGCGAAGTTTAGTTGTTGATTTTTATTTATTGTCTATATTGCCTTAGGTAAGCATCCCTGCATGGTTCACTGTGGACACTAGGCTTGGATGCTTGTCCATACATTTGGATACACCTCAATGCTTCTCAGCTGAGATGTATTCAGCTGACCTCAACATTACTGGAAAACCTGAGGATGATAAGGTAAAGATATTCTATTTGTTGTTACTAATGCACTTTCTGTTAAATGAAGTATTTTATATAATAGGCAGATTTTTGCAGCCATCTCTATCTAGATTACCAGTAATTTGGTGGCATTCCCTTGGTGCTCTGGTTAGCTTATTTTTCCTTTTTTTTTTCTTTTTTCCTCTTTTCAAGGAAAAAAATAATCTTTGAATTATGTTACATGTTTTATGTGAAAAAGGTAAAGAATATCTAGTATGATTTTAAGTTTCTAAGTAGCTTCTTTACTGTGTCTTTGTTCATGTTAAGGACACTAGGCATGACTATGTAACATTGACAACGCCTTGATTCCTAGAGGATCACAATACTATATCAAATTTCCAAGTGCTTTATAAAAGACTAAGAAAACTAAAACCTTTTTAATGTTAGTGGAACAGTTATTTTCCATGGATGATTGGGAATTTGTTCACAAGGCTCTAGGTGGATGCCAATTGGGAACCTGTAGGCAGTTATAATTACAATTAATAAGTAAGATATGACGTTTTTTTATTCCTATAGCAAAATAACATTTCTCTCAAAGAAGTAAGTGCCTAAATTTTCTATTTGAAAACAGATCCTGCAATCTCCAGAAAGCCTGTATTGTACAGGTTTATCTGATGTAATAACTTATCTTTAAGCCCACTAGATTTGTTGACTAATTTGGCATGCAGGTTAACCTAGCCCGTGAAACACTTAAAGGTCTATTGGCTCATTGGTTGATAAGAAGAAAGCAAAGATCTGGAAGCCAAGCATCAGCCAATGGGGATGTTCCCTCTGGAAAGGACACTGCCACCAGAAGTCATACCCATTCAAGAATTGATATGGATGGCAATGCTGACAATGACTCCATTGTATATCCACCTTTTGAATTTTCAACTGTTTCGCCTCCTTCAATTATTACCGAGGGCTCTCAAGGAGGCCCGTGGAGAAAAAAAATAACCGAATTAGATGGGACCGAAGACGAGAAGGACTTTCCTTGGTGGTGTCTAGAGTGTGTATTGAATAATCGCTTACCTCCTAGAGAAAATACCAAGTGAGTTTTAACTTTTACTGCAAATTTCCTTTACCTGGAGAAGGATTGCTATCTTCTGTTGCTGTACTTCGGTTTGGTGGCGGATACCTGCAATAAATGATTGAATGTTTTCAATCATTGTCGAAGGCATTATTATGAGTGTTGTGCATGGTCTTTAGCCATGGCATCCCTGTTTGGCTTTTGAGTACTTGTTTCTTTTCCCTTTTCCAGCATATAAAGTTAAACTTAAAGCTTTCTGCATAACATAAAAGGTTAATTGAGAGTGTACTACTTAGAGGAATCAGTTAATGTTGGATTTCTTATTCTTCTGCATTTATTTCTTGATTCTCCCTGCATGTCCATGGATATTTTCTTTTCAGATGCTTCTGTGTTTCATAAGCTGCATTTTTGAAATACTGTCTTGATTATTCTTGTTTTTACATTTCTCAAGCTGTTGCAAATAGGGTGCTTTTTTATTTCTTGATCTGTTGCCAGAAGTGTGCATTAATTTTTTCAGGTGCAGCTTCTACCTGCATCCATGTGAAGGTTCAACTGTCCAGATCCTCACACAGGGAAAACTAAGTGCACCTCGGATATTGAGAATACACAAAGTAGGTTTTTTTATCATTCTGTTCTGCTGAAGGAAGATTTTTCTGTGTTTCAGTAATTTTTCTTGTTTTTTTATGAAGTGTCAAGCTATTATATCCATCCCTTGGGTACTTATCTGAGATGTGTTGAAGCTAATTTATTTGGGTCTGTGCAACAGGGCATTGTGGGTATATTCTTAGCTTTTTTTTTTTTTTTAATGAAAGGTATACTTCTAGCATTTAGTTTCCTAAAAAATTACATCTGCCGGACCTTGATTCGAGACCTCTAAATTAGTTGCAGGCAAAGCAAGATATCAAAGTAGCAGAGCTACAAATTTGTTACTTGCCGTGAGCCTTGATGACTTTTCTGTTATGTTGAGTTTCTGATGCAGATAAATTAGTTCTCAGTTACTCTTTGCCTGCCACTAAGTGGCGTTTTATTTAGTATTGCTACATTGCAGAAGGCAAAAGGTTGAGAACAAAGGAGAGGAATTGTTTGTACTCGTCATTAATTAGATTCTACTGCATTAGTAGCAAAGAATAATTGATTCCCAGTCAACCCTCTGTTTTAGTTTAACAGAAATATGGTCTAAACTTGTCAAGCTTTCCTTTAAACATCTGATAGCCTGCACCTTCTTGATGTGTATAAATTAATTTTATTATGTTAATCATTGTGCAATTTGAAAGTACTGGTTTCTGCTTACGTATCCATTTGGATTTACTGCTGTGCATGTCGTGTCTGGTTTTGTTCAGAACATTAACTGAATTGCTTTTATTTGAATGCTTTCGTAGGTCATTAATTATGTCATAGAAAAAATGGTCCTAGACAAACCACTGGAAAGCGGAACCTCTGAGGGAACCTTTGCTCCTGGAGGGCAACTACAGCATCCAGTGGTTGGAGATGCCTCTTTCCGGTCTGGGTTGAAGCCTTGGCAAAAGATTAGGCCTGCTATTGAGATACTATGCAATAATCAGGCAAGTATATTGCTAGTACATGGAATCAATTACTAATTTTCAACTGTTTTACTTATAAATACTAATTTTATGATGTTCTTGTGTTTATCAAAGATGAGAATTTATTTTTTCTTTTTTTTCGTAAATGATGAGCTGACATGGTAAAATGGGGTTGGACGGATAATTTGCTTGGTTCAAATACCTTTCCTTGGTGCTTATCTGATTTGCCATTATCTGGCTGTAGTTTCGAAAAAAACTTATATTATTTTATTTTTAATTTGTTGGGTTTCAAATATATTGGAAGTGGTCTGACGAATCTCCTCAAAGTATATGGAATTTTTTTAAAAGAGCAAACGTGTGTTTTTGCCGTTAAGCAGATGATTTTTTCTCTGTTTTTTAACAGTCTTGATGTTGCAGTAAGGAACTCTTTGGTGTAATTCCAGGTCTTATCACCGGACATGAGCTTAGCCACTGTGCGGGCATATATATGGAAGAAATCTGAGGACCTGGTTCTTAATTACAGAATGGGCCAGGGCAGGTGACTAGTACGGCTTTTGGGAGGAGGTCAGTGCTATCTTTATTTAGATTACTTTTTGTATTCTTTCTGGTCGTATGGTGCAATTATTTATGGGGTTTGTTGGAAAATATTGGATGGAAATTTCATCTAAGAAAAAGAGCAGAAATTCCACTTCCCCGTTCCCAAATTTGATCTTAAAACTAATTATTCTTTGTTGTCTTGTTTTCCATCTTTTAACTTTTTAAGAGGTCTTCATTTTCATCTTGAATCACTTGGGCAAGGACATTATTTCCTTGGTTGGTGGATTCTTTTCCATTATGTTTACAAATTATTGCATTATACATTGAACATTTTTTTTCTAAGCTAGTAGATAATATTTAAGTTTTTGGGATTTTGACTATTCCAGAATCTAGAAGGTTGGTTTTGACACAACAGACTGCTATGTCCATTAAAGCAAACAACTGATATTTATAAGATTGTTTAGTAGTATACTCACATAACTATTGTCTATTAGGCTGCAGGTCGGATTTAGAACATAAATAGGCCCTGTAATGTAATATACTGCAAGGTAGGCTGATCTTTCTGGGGTTGCCTGTTGTCATCAAAGTACCTGTTGGGTCCTTGTTATTTGTCCAAATTATCGATCGGTATCTTGGGCCATTCCGAACTTTGCCCATAATGTTGATCCCGTCTACCTTCTTCATAGTTGGGCAGGTGCTTTTATGGATTTTGAGCCGTGTAGCTGACATGGAAGCTTTTGCTGGAAATTGCAACAAAATTTTTGGGTTGGTCTGCTTTCAGGGGTTTGCGACTTTTGGGGAAGTCGGGGAGAATATTTTGGATACAGTTTGAGGGTCTTTGAAGGTATATGATGTCGAAAAGCTTTGTAGATTTTGTATTGTGGGTATCATACCTAGCCATAGGAACTCTTCTACGAAGGTAATTTTTTTAATTATTTCTTTTGGAAATAATACAATTCCAAGCAGTTTTCTATTTATTCCCCCTTCTTTCATTCTTCTCTGGCACTTCCTTTTTTTTGTTTTCCTTTTCATTTTCGATCTTATTTTTTGGCTGAGCTTTTTCTTATTGAAGCAAGATCTAGCAGTTAAGAAATTCCACCAAATTGGTTCCATAGTTATATTCGTCCGTAATGCGCTATGTTTTCGAGTTTACTTACTGTTGCGATGGTTGATTTTCTTTTTTTTTTTTTGGGTTAGCGATGTATTTATTTATTTTACTGCATACCTTTTTCTCAAGTCCTTGACGGATCGATCGGAATATGTATATTGCTATTTGGAGGATGTTCGAGTTGTATCCATTGGGTGATGTGTGTCTCGGAGTTGAGGTAACGTATTAGATTTCTAAAGTAAAAACTTTTAGTTGCGTGATTGATTTTGGGCTGCATTCGGAAATAAATTAAAATTTCATTTGTAAATTTATATTTACTCAACTATAAGATAATGGAAATATTAGTTAAAGTATTCTAAATTTTATCGATTTGCATTGTTAATTTCATATAAAATTCTCTACGAATTTAATTTGATGTCATCTCTTAGTAGAACCGAGTGCGAATTTCAGTAAATTTGGAGGAAGAAAAATCTGAAATTGTTCCCAAAGATTGTGTTATTCTACATTGGCATGCATATTTGAAATGTTAGGAACAGGGAGTTGCAAGTCACTTGGATCGGAATGTATACCCCTACTTATTGGGTCTTAATTATTGGCAACAAAGAATATTAACATAGTATTAAAATTGCAGCATTACTAGAATTAAGCAGCTAGATTTATATGTATAATATATATATATATATATATATATTTATATATCAGACTCTGATTATTATTAGAATGATGATTCCAATTATAA